AGAAAACTTAGGAGATTGTAAGCAAAATAGGTCTATGGCCGGGACTCCAACCGGGTCCCTCCCGACGCGTCGATTACATTTGGAACAATTGTGGAAGGCGAGTTATTATATATGAGATGGACTGTTTACACCAAATAAACTCTGGTGGGGTGTCATGCCATTTGCAATATAGAACTAACGATGTTTACAGGTCTACATGCTTCAAACTTATGAAATAAGTAGGCCTACTTTTGACAGCTCACCTAGTTAAGACATACAAAATACAAAGAAACTTCATCAAGATGGCTGTCTTCTGGGTTGTTGAACCGTGTGCTCTGGTAGTTAACATTTACGTTTCAGAGGTGCTTGCTGCCTCCACATCAGGGTGATAAAATCTCAACCTAAAAGCCCCTTACACAGTACTCCTTAGGCATATAGGCCGCTTTAATTCTAACGCCCTCTTTTTGTGATGTGGAAACCCTGCATAATACATCAGATGTTAAATACTGGTTGTGACAGAGTTTCAGTACTGTAACTAAATTTATCTCACGGTACAGCATCTCTCCTTCTTTCAAAACGAACACAATTCAAATCGTGCAAATGCCTTGAGGGTGGAAGTCAGCTAATTAAACCAGCTCATGCGGAAACTGTACAGAAACATATATCACACGCAATATCACATTACTGTCCGTTAGCTAAACAACAGAAAGGAGGTTATTAAATTTGGGCATCTACAAAAACTTAGAGGCCATATTTAATGCACAAGCATTTTTGCCTCGTCTACTCATAGCGTGTTCCTTAAGTGTGGGTTACAATACTTTATATCCGCTTAGTTGATATGTAAAACGCATGTTATGTAAATTATTTTCGGTTGTCGATGTTGGTCTTCTGTGCTGTGACACCGTGTAGACCTGTGCGTAATTACGTTTCGGAGGCATATAATGCCTCCATCTTCAGGGCTGAAGTGTAGTATGTGTGGATGGGCACAGTATAACCCACGTTATGCGTTCATCTTATGCACCTCGTACAAACAAAGTAAACCTATAAACATCCAAATAACATGCGCCATTCCTTTACAAACTTCACAATAAAAATGTAGTAGCCCACTCCCACCCAGACGTGTCACATCTAACTTGGGTGACACCACTTTACAGCCTGTCTACTCACAGTCTTTTCTCGACGCCGAGCGTCTGGATGCGCCGTCTCCCGACGTCACCGCAGCCAACGTCAGTTTCAACCAAGACTCAGCTTCACCTAACAAGCAATTAGCAAATGCCGGGAGGTTATAGGAGTCGGGATGCATGGAAGGATTGTGTTAAAGTTTATGAGGATGCATCTGCTAGCTATGGCAAGCCAATGCTCCGAAAACAAGTCAGAAATTGAATCGATGACTGCAGAAACAACCTGTCATATTTTTGTTGAAGTCGAGCTACTGGCTGCAATGCATTCTATGAACTTCTAATTACATTAACATAATATTCCCATTTATGATTTCAGGTTTTCACAGCGCAACAACCCAGAATACAGAGATCTTCATAAGGTGCCCACTTTCACAAAGTGTACGGAGTACAAGTCTGCACAGATTTTGAGCTGAAACAAACTTAGAGTACAAAACGATTACAATTATGACAAGTTGGGACCTACTCCCACTATTATTCCCTTCACGCACTGATCAGCGGCCACGTCTAAAAAACTGAACTGTAGTTTATTCTTAAAGCCAGGCGAACCACAGAAAGTTCTTGATGTGATCATGAGCTTCTTGGCTGCATTTTCAAACTGCCAATGATGACGTTACAATGTTTAAAATTAATATCATGGTCGGAGGCTTAATGTGGTTTAAGAGCTGTAGTGAGTGGTGTTGTTCATTTAACATCAATCGGGGATAAAAGAAGAGGAATTTTCGCAGTGGATCCAGTCAGTCTTGAACTCAAAACCTTCTACTCTGAAGTCTTGCTCTTTAATCAGAATCTCTGTCCCTCAAAACTCCAGTGACTTGATACATAAATGAAAACACCTCTGCACCATGGAACACGAAAATCACCCGCAGACTGAAATGCTGGCACAAGACAGGCACCGAGAGAATACAAATGGACTTGTAATCTATCACCGGACTAAGTAAGAATCATGTTGGCGAGACTGTTTCAGTATGTTGGAAGGGGGGTGGAACTTACGTTGTTTCCTGCACAACCCTTCTTCCAATCTCGGTATGAATTTATGGGGTTGGTTGGTCACGTGTGACAGCAGTCTCTGAGAGGGGTGTAGTATGCGTTAGCGGGTGGACAGCCAGGTGTAATTGAACTATTGCCTCACGGTTACAGAGAGTCTGGGGAAAGGGTGAGAGGGCAGACTATGTTGGATGAGAAAATGGCAAGAAGGGATGTGTCCCAGGGAAACGGTGGGGATTACTGCACGTGTGATGTAGAAGGGTTGCTGTAATTCGTCCTTCAAGTGACGAAATTAGGTTATTTATAGACATATAAATTGAACAAGTTAGTAAGCGTATACACAGCGTACCAATTTTATCGGGATCGCCAGAATTCGACTTCAGTGAACGGCTTAGGTAACATCTTAGTTGTCTGAGTGTATGAGCTTTGTGGCAATGCCGTCTGGGAGGGCGATGACGTCATCAGAGTGGACTCCGCCACGTAGTTCCAAACCTGACTGGGAATTCCCCACGCGGGGATCGAATACCCATAGCGACAAAAGTAACGCAGGCAAACTGGGGGTTCCCCGCGAGATCCTCCTCAAAAGTTAACAGCGTCCGCAGGACTATGTGCAGGTTTAAGTGCTCCTGATTGCTGTCCTGTCTGGACTAAAACTGGAAAATGTCGACAAATTTAACAAGACCCACTCTCGTCAAATTTAATGAAAATTCGTTCAGCCTACAGAGTTGCTGCATGCGAACAAACATACGACAAAGCTGACAGACGCACTTCTGCAAATCGTAGTTGTAAAAGAGCCTAAAATGAGACGTACAGTTAGTTTACTTTTGGCCGACTCCTTCCACATCGTTCCCAATTCGCATATCACACAACAATAATAAATTACCATTCGACGCTATATAAACCTGTTAAGTTCATAAACGTCTTAAAATGATCTAGTAATAAATCGGTACACAAATACACGCATATTAATTTCAATTATTCGATTTACAGCAGTATGCAGAGACAATATATCTCTATAAACTCATCTTCACATCTCATTACAATCTTTTTCAAACATGATAAAGAAAAAATAGGTAAGGGACTTAACAGTTCGCGTTCCTTTCCCCTAGTGCCAAATCCCAGGATGTATTTTCATTAAGGAGAAGGATCACAAACACCTATTTAAAGTAATTCAGTACCGGAAAAAACATCGAAAACGCCTAGAAACCCGATCACCATTGAGGACAAACAAGTGCTGCTCGGATTCCGTCATGTATATCTGGGGCACAGAGTCAGGGTTTAGTTGTCATTATTTATAACTCGAGCGGTGACGACACGCGATTAGGGGCGACGACCTGTCGGCATCACGACGCCCGCGTCACGTCGCCAGAAGTGAGCTGCCATCTACTGGCTGTGTCATGCTCTACGAGCACGTCCAAACACTGCTCTGAAACCACCTTCTAATAAATGTTGGTAGAACAATAAACTGGGAAGGAAGCGACCGTCGACACTGAATTCGCTACGATATATATCAAACTTGACAGAACACAAATCTAACACGTCTGTCAATTATTATTAAAGACGGACATCACGAAAGCACTGAGGATCTTATTTTAAGAGTGTTTGATTCAATGTTCTGTCGGAGAAAAAATAATAAACTAAAAACAGTTCGTTTACACAAGCATGTTCCAATTTTTCTGCGATATGACACTAAAAGCTATTGAAAGGCATTTATTATATTGCAAAATGTACATTGTACAGATGATGGGTGTGGGCGATAACAACCTCTTACCACAAAAAGTAGCTTCTTATGAACTGATACAAATTACTACACACTTGAAAGAAAGTTTTTGTGAGAACAGTGGCCATACAGAAAACGTGTAAAGAATAAAATATAATATTAAAACGGGCCTTAGAAAAGCAAATTATATAAAGGTGGGAATATCTCAACACGCAATCAACCTTCGCCCTAAAGAAAAGCAATGACATTTCTTTATCGACTATTAGCCACATTTAAACAAGACATTCTATGTGTGGAGTAAATTACTTCGTTAGTCAGTACGTCATTTCGTAACAGTCTCTTTGTTATTTTCTGGAACAAATTCTCTAATAAGAAGAATATTCATCAGTTCGAGACGTAGATAAACCAACGAATATACTGAACACATATGTCACAAAGCCACGATCACACATTATCGAGTTAAATTTAATTACTGAAGTGAGAGACACCTATGGGCACTTCTCTATAACGATAATAGCCAATTGTCTGCTGAAATACGAACAGTCAGCCACAACTGTAGAAATGTCACGAAGGATAAAACAGCCATGTTATCACATAACACACATTGTAGGTGTCTACACAATCCTGTCCTTCAGCAAACTGTTCTCTGATCTTGAAAACTACAGACTAAAAAAAAAGACGAGCAAAAACAAGGTTGCAGAAGACGGTTAGCAAACGACATTTCAAATAAATGGCTGCCACACATGCGAAGGACACAGTCAGCTGTGTGTTATAATCTACGCAGGGGTTTAGTATTTATGAGTAAAGGGACCTATGACACCACGTGTCCCAACTGAAGAGAATTATAACATCGAAACCAAGACTAAACACTAAAGAGCTACCCTCACTATCATCCATATCAAACGCAACGGTACAGTTCACAGCAGAATTACCAATCATTCCATAATGAAAATTTACCACATTATACGTAGTTTACTGTGTTAGTATCACTCAACACATTGATAGAGGCCTGTGATGCTGCTGACAGCGTCGTCCATAATTCTGGCATGACTTATTAGAGCTCTTGAACATTGTGGAATGAAGAACACATGGCTAAATCCGCAAAAACGGAACAAGATTTTATTATGAGTACTCACCTCCGATTTCCCTTTGGAAACGCAGCTGGCGACATTGCTCGGTTCTAAGCTCAATGAATCCCGCTGAAAAAAACACGAGAAAAGAGTACATATCACACAACTAGAATTTTATAGTTTTAAACAGCATAATTAATACAGATTTTCACAGAAAAACAATATCAGAAAAGCTTACATCTTTACCCAGACACAATTGTCATAAAATGACTTGAAAAATGGAAGATGAGATGGTTGGGGCACACAAAAATCTTCAGCAAGTGAGCAAAGCATACAAGATATCAATCGGAAAATATGAGTGGATAATATTAAAACGAAACATAACGCGTCAGAATTGGACCAGTACAGCTTCAAACTTACTATAATAGACCCATGGGTGAAGAAATCGTGGAAATAACATAGTACGTAGTACGACTGATTGTTGTTTTACGTCAAATGGGATCGGAAAGGAAGGAAGAGATTTTAAAAAAAAAATTATCCACCGCTGAATTTCAATGGTTCTTCTCAACTCCTAGGATATATGTTTTGTTATGGGCACGCTTATAAAACATGAGTCACTTTTTGAAATGTTGACAGATTTCGATTTCTGCTTCATGTAAAATAGACACTGAAGCGATAATAAACAAAAAGAATTTTCTCACGTTTCAGTCTAGATCCACTGTAACAAACTACCTCGAACGGGACAAGTTATTCGAGAGACGAAAAACGAGTAAGGGCATTGAAGACAAGCATGACTCAGTTTCATGTGACAATGCTGTTTCGCGCAAAACCAAACTCGCAGAGAGCAAAGAGTGAACATAAAAGTTTATGGTTATCATTATTTGGGATTAAACACACGAAAACATTAAACATTTAATAATAACATTACGAATCAAAACTCCGTTCACGTGAAAAATGAAATTTGATCAGAACACATGACAATACTTCGCGCAATTTTAATGCAAATGTTTAAGTGTTACAACACAGGCAATCAGAGTCTCCCAAATAATTATGCCAAGATAAACATTTATCACGCGTTTTAACAATGCTAGTTACCATTTATAACTAAATATAAATGCAAAGTGGAGACGGGAAACCGTCACATAACTTTAATTACATACATAATTTCCAGTTGGAATACAGACTGTTCATAAATTCAGATTCCACTGCCAGCGATTCTAGCATAAACACACATGGAATCGAAATGCCATCAACGAAATTAAAACAACCTGGCACGATAATGAAGCGGTAAAGACTTAGACTTGTATTCATGAGACTACTGGTTCGAATACCCTGAGATCAAGCCACTAGTACGCCTATTTATAACACTAAGAACGGACAAATGTGCTGTTTGGGTAGTATTATAAGCGTGCGTTTGATTGCATCTGACTCCTGTCTGGTGCATACGTATGCTATATAAAATGATTCATAATATGCTAAGTTATGGTCTACCAGTGACTTTTCTAGAAGCCAGTGAGATTTAAACTAATATTTTATAAATCGTAACATATGTATTTTATGGATACCTATAACTTTATTAAAGACATTTGTCTCTCAGAAAAATGCTTAGCGAGATGTGCCCCAAAATATGTCTAGTCGTTTAAATAACGCGGGCCTTAAAATACATTACGTTTCATGAAACAGACAGCTGTCTGGGAGTTCCGTTCTGTAACCTTCCGCCAGTGGCGCGTTACGACAGCGGGATAATCTCTCCAGTTTGGGCTGTACCATTCACTTTCAGTCTTCATCGCAATCTGGCAAAATATCTTCCAAGTTTCGGTTACGTTGCGATACATAGTTTCCGTAATGTGGGCTTGACCTCTCTTTCTCTTTAAGGTTTCTTTCTCTTATACACTTCAATATCAATTCACATCTCCTAAGATTCTCTTAGAAAACACAACACAATTAAATTTAAATAAAAACATTACATACGTATAAGTCGACCATGTGCACATATGTCACCACAAAAAGAAGCAATTGTTAAAGTAATCGAGGCAGACCGCCTTATCTTTAGGACGGGAAATAATCCAATAACACTTGCGCATTTATTCATATCCATTCCACTACGGAACAGCGGTTATACTGGTTCAAACAGGAGGGGGGCAAAAAGAAAAACAAAACTTAACTGCTGTGTCAACATCGTAACGAATTCACTGTACATAAAATCCATGCAGCGTATTTCTGGAATTACTGGGAAATGTGCTGGAAATTAACAGCAACTGCAGTTTGTTTGTTTGTTTGTTTGTGTGTGTGCGGGTAGGTGTTGGTAATTCATCTGTGAAAATAAACACAGAACTGCCACTAAAGAGGGTAAATTGTTCTATTTAAATCAAATACGACAGATAGTCCGTTAGTGGGCAAATTGGCTTCATTCGTACTTTTTAACTAAAAAACAAGACAAAATATATAAAAATTACACCAAACAATGTGACCAAAAATACGTACCAGTGGGCCACACCTTCTGCCTTCCCGCATCCTAACCCTATATAAACCTCTCCAATTCCCAAAATCACCACTTCAGTCCTGAAGATGGGGACAGTACGAGTTAAATTATATTCAGTAAATAAATGAGCAATGACAGCTCATTATCATATGTTACAGGCTTATGTTATAGGCTTCAGTAGAGAGGGTATGTTGACGTACCCTTACATAACCTAAACTTGCCTAACGAAAACCAACATAAGTTAACCCAACCTAACCTCACCTAACCTAACCTAATCGACGAAAGGAGTCGCGACGCCGAGCATCACGACACCATCTAATAACACAAAAGATACCGCAGATGTAGTTAGACATCACTGAATACAAAAGTAGAAAAGCGACGCCCGGCGTCGCGACGCCTATCGTCACGACACCACCACAAGACCCAGGAATTTGACTCGAAAGATTTGGATAACTTTGATTTCAATTTTAGGAAACCGACGCCTGGCGTCGCGACGCCGATCATTGCGACGCCCTATCATGGCGCCAAAGAAACTGCAGATGAATTTAAATATCACTGCTGACGAAACTAGAAAACTGACGCCTGGCGTCGCGACGCCATCCGCCGTCACACCAGATGAAGCATACCACCTTTGGTATAACGTTTGGCACGATGATAGAAAATCGACGCCTTGCGTAACAAGGTTCTTGAAGGATTACCGAAGACGCCAACCTAACCTAACCTAACCCAACCCAACCTAACTTAACCGAAATAACCTAACCGAAACTAATCTAACCGAAGTTAACCTAACCCAACTTAACCAAACCTAACCTAAGCTAACCTAACCAAACCAAACCTAACTCAACCTAACGTAACCTAACCCAACTTAACATAAACTCACCCAACCTAACCAAACATAACTTAACATAACCTAACTCAACCTAACCTAACTTAACCGAAATAACCTAACCGAAACTAATCTAACCGAAGTTAACCTAACCCAACTTAACCAAACCTAACCTAAGCTAACCTAACCAAACCAAACCTAACTCAACCTAACGTAACCTAACCCAACTTAACATAAACTCACCCAACCTAACCAAACATAACTTAACATAACCTAACTCAACCTAACCTAACTTAACCGAAATAACCTAACCCAAACTAATCTAACCTAAGTTAACCTAACCCAACTTAATCAAACCTAACCCAACCTAACCTATCTTAATACATCACACAGGTTCCAGAGTAAGCTATATGTGATTCAATAATACTTTGTATGCACGACATAAAATTATACTACAAACTCAATGGAACAGAACCCGCATTGAGAAGCTAACCGCCACTTATCTGGACGAGAAGTTCCACACTTTTTATGGCACAGCCTGCGTGTGACGTAGCAAGCCTCAGCACTGGCACTGTTGTCAAATCTTCATTAGGGTTTGAGATGGCGATACGTGCGGTCACATACCCAAGCCGTCAGAGTACAGCGAGGAACGTGTGGTTGTGGAACAGAACTTACAGGCTGCAGAACGATAACTGGAGGAATAGCAAAGGACAGTGTTTTAAAGCGCAAACAGCACGTGGCATGGGCGTTTCTTCCATAAGGAAAGATAAAACATAGAATCTGACAAACATAAAGGACCTTAGAATCTCAGTAAGTCACCTCATCTTTGAATATAACGCTCAGGTGTTTCCCTATCGAGACAGCCATCTGTTCAGGACTTCTTCTAGAGACTACAGTATCTAAAGACTTCCTCAGAACACCCTTAGGGCACAGTTCACGTTCCACCGTTCTGTGAAGTCTTACACGTTAATTTCTATCAAGGGCTTAATTTTAGCGCTCAGTAAACAGTCTGCATAATCCACCCCTCTTTCGACAGCGTGGGCAGTACCCAGTGTGCCTAAAGAGGTTTCGAATGGAGTGGGAGGAGTGGGGACGTCCTCTCTCTAGTGGTGCTTGCGAACTGGGGAATTAGCAAAGGTGTTTCCCCGTGCACAGCAACTCTGGTAGTAAATACGCTTAGTAGAATCAACGCAGCTCAACTAAACTAACTTCAAAGGAGTCTACCCAATATCAAACGAAATTAGGACACTCACCTCGAAAAACAAAATCGAATTTCATAAAGCATCGACGACAAACATACGATGGAATTATTATTGAATATATAGAATTTACAACTTCGGCTTTCAGGGATGAGGCACGTCGAATGCTGAAAATTATACCCTTTTTCGGCAAATACTGAGGTTGGCATCTTCAGGCTAAGTATGGAAGGGTTGGGCTTTCGAGAAGCCCAGGCAGGCAGTAGGTTGCTTGTTGGTTCTAATGCTGCTGATAGGAGCAGCGAAACAGCGGGCTCTATCCAATAGAAAAACCTAATTTTGTTGAGAAAAATCGGTGATTCACAATATTCGTCCACCCTGCTTCGAAACTTCCCAGCAATTAGTACATTTTCCTGTGGATCATATATATAATCCTCATACTTAACTGCCAGTCGTCTAGTTTTCATGTCATTTGACCTCAAATATAAGATTTTTACTGGTACAGCCCATGGATGGTACAGTATCATTACTGTTTACAATTCAGTGAAAATCACCTTACTGTAAATGACAGAGGATTAATATTATTTGCATATGCCGCCTCTTTCAGAGTCACTAACAAGGATTT